AAACGTCAGGAAAATAAAGCCCTTGTTCCAGTGATCGCATCTTCTTCTGAACAGTGCCAAATATCTTCCAGTGACTCGGTGGCCCATGTCTTTTGAGTCTCTTTAGATTATTTTTTGCATAATCACCAATTACTGAAGTCCCTGATTGTGTTTCGCACATTCAAAAATGCGTTTAATTTTCAGAGACTATTCATTTTATATAGTTTGTTCTGCCTGCTTTGTGGTTTTATTAAGGGAGGGCTGTCGTCTTTCAGCACACAGTGTTTGTTGTCTGATTATAGCGTTCCGTTTCTAAATACCGTCAGATAACCCCGAAACCATTATTTTGCAGTGGGAATGAAATATTCCAATATCTTACAAATTTCGCTGCAGAAAGTTCAATATTGCCATCTTTTGCTGCTAACGGTGATTAACAGTATGGGAGAACTCACGAAAATACTATGTAAACTTAATGGGCAAAGCACTGGCCTAAATGTGTGAGATGATAAATCATACGCAGTGGACTTGTAAGTTTAATAATATCCTTCCGGTTAAATGAATTAATTTTTTAAATGTTCGGCTCTTTAGGGAATTTATTTATTTGTACTATATCTATTTTCACGGTAGGATTCCTGTTAAACAAACGCGTGTTTTACAAAAGCAAATTGAATTATAATTTTGGTTCTCGGCTGCACATTTTCTCCCCTGCGAATCTTGCTCGTGTGATTTATTTATCTATAATGGCCCTGACTGCAAATGAGCAGAAGCAGTTTCAATTGGAGTCACGAGCTAAGCTTTCTAAAGCTGAAACGCCTATGGAAAAGCTCCGGTTCATGTGCTTGGCTCGGGGTGCTAGTGGTATCAATGGATTAGGCCGTCAGTTCAGAGTCATGGATGATGACTCAAACCGCAAGCTCTCCAAAGAGGAGTTTACGAAGGGTTGCAATGATTTTGGTTGTCACTTATCATCGGACGAGGTAGACAAATTGTTCGCTGCGATAGACACTGATAATTCTGGATCTATTGGGTTCGAGGAATTTCTACGCGCACTAAGGGTAATTTACATTACCATGTAACGTACTTTTAGCCGCCAATGTCGCAGCGTCGCATCGATCTTGTGAAAAAGGCCTTCTCCCTTTTAGATAAATCTGGCGATGGCGTGATTACGGTGAGTATCTGTTTTTTCTTTGCTTGCTTTCGCGACATAGCCTTCGATATAGTGAAACTGGCACAGACATGCATAAAATTTCTTTTTTTAGATATTTGGGTTACTGGTTCTTCTGATACTTACTGCATATAAACATATTTATATTAACTTGGGATCGGACTAAATCAGCTTTATTGGAACCCCAGTTTCTTATGTCGAAGTCGTATTTTTTTCCTAACTGAGCCTATGCTGTAGCGCCCCTGCACGTAGGTTCCTCTGTCGGGAGGGTTTCCTCCGGTAT